TTTTTTTTGAAGGGTTTTTTTTTTTTTTTTTTTTTTTTTTGATAGTGAGCTTTGCAAAATTGCAAATCCTTATTCTTTCCCCCCCCCTACCCTATCTGTCTGCATTCTGCATTCTCACCCACTTCTTCTGTTGTTTCTCTGTGTGTGTGTTTGTATTGCCTCCCCCTCCTTTGTCGTTTGAACTTCGACTCGTTTCCGCTTTTCGACACATGTTTCTAGAAGCGCCAGGGACGTCAGCGTGAGCAGCAAAGGAGCGGGGATTGCGTCTCACCACAAAGCTGCCACACACATGCCGCACAGATTGAAAGCAAGCCCACTGATCCGCCGCCGGTTCTCTATGCCGTCCATTGCACAAAAGGAGGATGTACGGTCATCCAGGAAATGGATTCTCCCTCAATCTTCTAAGCCTGATGCTGCAAGAGGAGAAGGCCAGGGCTAAAAGCGGAAGCCCGATCAAGCCCAAAAATCATGAGCCTGAACCTGGTCGCAAAAGGAGGATATATGGTTGTCCTGGAAATGCCATCTCCCTCAATCTTCTAAGGGTGATGCTGCCAGAAGCGCAGCCCAGGTCGTATAAAAGCCCAAACCCGAGTTCAAACCTGAGACCGAACCTCATCCCAGAAAGAATCCTCCTTCAATCTTCTAAGTGTGAGGTTCAGTCTCAGGTTTAAACTCCGGTTTGGGCTTACGCCCTTTCGGTTTACGACCGTCTGAGTGGAAACGAGTCGAAATGAATTCTCCGTCAATCTTCTTAAGTGTGATGGTACCAGAAGTGAAGCCCGGCGGCGGTAAGGTCAAAACCCTGAGTCCGAACCTTGGCCCAGACCTGGGCCCAAAACAGACCTGGGCCCAAAAGCTGGTCCCGAAAGGAGGGGTATATATACCCTCAAAATCTTCTAAGGGGTATATATGGATACCCCCTCAAAATATTCTAAGGGGTGTGATGCTGCCAGATGTGAAGCCCAGGACCAAGTCAAAGATCAAACTTGCGCCCAAATGTCATCCCAATTCTGATCGCAAGCGTCGAGCACACACCAGAGGCAGCGAATCAAATGCAGTTGCGTGAATGCTCACGCCCGACGCGCTCAAAGGAGAAGGTAGTGAATGCAGTTGGTTAAATGCTCATCACACACCTGGCGCGCTCAAAGGAGAAAAGAGAGTTGTGTCATCGTCATCGTCATCGTCATCCATCCATCATTATCATGGAGAGGTTCATTTTCAAAAGGTTACCAGTGCTTGGTTAATTCATTATTTAATTAATTTTAATATTAATTTTAATTAATTAATAATAAAAACTGAAGTTATACCTTGGATAACGTTTTTATGTACATAAATTTAGCAACGGTATATAATTAATGATTATTTGAAATATTTCTAAAGTTTCTGTAATTAATGATTATTATTGAAGTTATAACCTTTATAACTTTTATCTGGACAATAAAATCAAATATTTTCTTTTAGTACGGGATGGTTTTAGCAAAGGCGATTCAAGGCACATAATTAATAATTATTCAAAAGGTTGCTGAAGTATTTTCTATTTATTATTTAATGAATTTTAATCATTATTATTGAAGTTATAACTTTTATAACTTTTTATCATTTTTTTATGTATATAGTCTATTTTCGAGTCCATAATGACTTATCACTGTTATCAGCAAAGGCGCATGATTCATTATTATTATTATTATTATTATTATTATTATTGAAGTTTTAACTTTTCAATAGTTCTTATGATGAAGTTATGAAGTATAGTACGTTACCAAACGCATACAATTAAGTTTTTTTTTTTTTTTTTTTTTTTTTCCCTCCTCGCAAGACCAGGAGCATCACCCAGCTTAGCTTTGGAGTTTAGAAAATGGTGCAAGAGTTTTTTTTTGCTTTTTTTTTAACGTTACGTGTTGTAATTTTTTACTTAATTGATTTTATTTGTTTATTTACGTAATTATTTATTTATTTTCTCTTTATTCATTATTTAGTTTTTATTTGTTTATTTATAGAGTCACCCAGAGTTCATTAGTAATTTAGTACCCCTGGTTGTTTGCTTGTTCCATCTGTGTATGTCCAGCCAGAGTATGTCCAGAGAGGGACAGTGTGTGCCCATAGGAGGTTCCGGTTCAAGGCTATGGAAAAGGAAGGATAGCCAGGAGCTAGGTCAGGCAGATAAATTATCGTTTTGCAAAATCTTACGATTCTTAACATTATATTTACTCGCATTTTTTTTCTGGATTGATTTGGTATTAATAATTCATTTCGTATTAATTTTGCGTTATTTTCGTCTTCCATGCAACTACTCAGTATTCGTTTGGAAATCGATATTTTTTTAATATTTATGAATTTTATGTAATAAATTAGTACATTCCTATATTCAACCAATTCAGTCTAATTGAACGGATTTCCGCATCTCAGAAGTCCGGTTCTTTTAAGTCCCAGAGTCCCATGTAACATGGTCCCTGCCGGTAGGAGAATAGGCCTTTCGGTACCATACATAACCCGCAGGCCCTGTCGCCCTGACAAAGTTAGCAGGCAGATAGGTCAGGGATTGCAGGTAGGCCTAGGTCGTTATTTGTCGGGAAGAAATAGGCTGTGAGTTCAATTTGCAGCACAGTCCCAGGAAAGTCCGTGAATACTCTGGATGCGTCAGAAGCAGACTGCGGTCAGCAGGCGAATGGGTACCGGTCTGGAAAGATCCAAATTTGGGAGCTGCACCAGTACACAAGGGCAACATCCACAACTGTGGGAACGTCAACACAATTTCCTTGATGCATCTCGCGCAACAGTGCTGTGGCGTTCTTGTGAAGTGGAGAAGCGAGCAAGACTGAGCAGCAAGAGTAGACACTCGACAGGCGCCGGGCGCCATAACTGCTGGGGAGCGAGCGAAAGTTACAGTGAGGGAAGACATTCACAGGCCCAAGAGGCCTGTACAATGTTTGAGAGTGTTTGAGAGAGAGAGAGAGAGAGAGAGAGAGAGAGAGAGAGAGAGAGAGAGAGAGAGACAGAGAGAGAGACAGAGAGAGAGA